TAAAGACTTTTTAAAATTTTGAAATCCTTTTTCATTAAAAAAGTGAAAATCCGTGCAAAATTCTTAAGTTGTAACAAGCTGATTATGTATCAGTATGTAGCATTTGGTGAAGTGTGCTGATTTGTTGTAAATTAAATGAGGGGTTAAGTTGAACCCAGAGTTCCTGTGCTCTCATGTGTGAAATAGACTAAACTGGTTTGAAAAAAATCGTGGTAGTTAAACTGTATCCAACTCCAGACAGGCACTTAGGTTTAAAACTACAACCAGATAATAAAATTAAACAAATAATAAAAGTAATTTAAAAAACCCTACTAGCAGACAAAAGAGCTGTTTTGCCCTATGGGGGCAGTGAAAATGAAACAATTCTAAAAATGGAAATGTGTGCATAAAAAGCAGATGTAAGATGAAAGGTGTTTATTAATATACATCTGATATTTCGCATTGTGCACTGATGTAAGAGATCGTTCAAACTCCTAAATATTTGAAAATTAAGCTGTAATATCTGCTTTTAAATTGTTTATTCCCAGAGTTTTACATATTTATTTTTGAACTGCAGTAGTGTGACATAAATTCATCCTTCTTGAAGATTTCACTATTACTAGCATGACCTCGTATTAAGAATACCTGTGTTTTGTTTGTAATAGATATGACAGTGTTAGAGGACTTGGAGCACTACTGCTTAATCGGAGGTGTCTCCTGGAGCAAGGCTGCACTAGAGAGCTGCGCTCCGAGAGAAGCAGGGGTGGTGGTTCATCTCTGCTCTCAGTGTGGTATTTTGATGTGGCAGTGACGTGCAGCAAAGCCACACGTGCCAGTTCAGCGGTTCGTTCCCGCATGTCATTCAGTAAATATGTAACCCTCTAAGTGATAATTTCCAGTCCCCGCAGCTTTCTTTTGAATCCACGTCCAAGACGGAGTCAGTGGGTTGTGAGCAAAGAGTATTTGTGTAACAGGAGGTGAGGTAGGTGGGAGGGTTCTTGGCTGAACTGATTCTGTTGTTTTCTGGGAGTTTAACACTAAAATGTTCCAGTTCAGACTTATTTATATAGTGAGGCATAACTCTTGTGCCCTCAAAAAGACTTTTCCACATTTCCTTAGTCGTGTCACTTCCTCCTGTTAAGTAGAAGCCACAGCAGATCATAAAATAAACCTATAAACTTTCCTTCATGCAAATAATAGTGCTTCCAAGCTGTAGGTTTCAGCTCTGATGCCAGCAGTTCTGTCAGAGACCAACAGGAGGGACTTTTTAATTGAAATAGGGAGGCTGAGCACAGATGCTGCCTCTCATTCTTCCATTCCCTTTTCTGCAGGTGGAAGAAAGTCTCAGAAACCAAAGGCTACAGTTTATTCTCAGCTGTGTTACGAATATACTCCAAGACCTTCAGCAAATCTCTGTTCTTCTTGTCATAGTTTCCAAAAAACTCAAGGAAATAAAACTGCATTTCCAGATTGGCCTGGTAGTTAGGAATAATCACTAAAATGAATATGTCACCTTTCTTATAGGCCATTCCTTCTGGCTTTAGGCTACTGCAAGTCATGTTGCCAAATAAGTGTTATTTTGACTCTGCCTTGTAGCTATGTAAATAGGAGTTAATGAGTTGCTGCATCTCATGGCTGGCTTGTGACGTGGAGGTCTCCAGAGGGAGGATGAGGAGAGGCTGCCGTGGAAAGTCCCCAGCTGTTGCTAGGCAGCACTGCGTTTTAGCTTCCCTGTCCGAAAGTCTGCGCTCAGGTTTGGCAAGGAAAGGGAAAACTGGGGGATGAAAAACCATAAAAAGATGCTTGACTTACTTTTTCTAAGCATGGCTTTACTGTGCTGGGTGCAGAGAGTGTGTGGCTGCAAGTGAGGTGGAAGCAATTTGATTAAATAGAAGAACATTCAATAACTGTCCTTCTGTTTATTCATTCTCAGCTGCAGGATCGTGTGGCTGGCTTGCTCTCTCTCTCTCACTCCCTCTGTTTTGTCTCTTATGATGATCTTGGACCCTTGCAATGAAGCTGGAAGAGCGCAGCAGAAGTGGTCTTGCTCCACTTCCAGTCAAAGTGGAAGTAGGAGAACGCAGCAGTTCCAGAGAGCTTCCTCTGCTGAGGTTTATGCTCCAGTTTTACAGCCTGCACATGAGGGGATGTCATGTTTTCGTTTCATTACTAAGTCCATCACAAGGCACATCAGAGATCACTACGATTAAAGCTTATCGCAACCACATCGCTAAAAGAGCACTTCTTTTTTCTGCCAGAAGTGTAGGACTTGGGATACAGCTGAGCATTTGAATTCCTCTTGGTAAAGCCTGGCTGATTGTCCATCCACCCAACAGGCTAGTTCAAACTTTTCAGTTGGTCTTCATCGTCTTCTTGTAATGGCTGTCTCTGTTGTTCCTCCCTAAGCATTTTAATAGACGGCCAGGATGGGTAAATTTAAGGTCTTGCTGCCTTTGCTGATTTGTAGTTGGGAAGCAATGTCTTTTGCTGCACCCCAGTGGAGTCACTGGGGGATCTGTGGATGGGACCTTACAAGGCATTGGAGCCCACTGGACTGTACTGGAAAGTGATGTACTTTCTCGCTGGCTGACAGTTGTGTTTAAAGATATTTTTCCCCTTCCAGCGGAGGATCCCATGGTGTTGCTGAGGCACTGTGGAACTTGATGTCACAGCCTGGCTCTGTCCTTGGGGGTTGAGCCAAGTACCACTGCAAAGCTCAGCTTTCCAGCAGCCTAGAGAAGCTGAGAGTCTTGCCCAAAGTCGTGCCGCTTGTAGTCAAATGGGATGCGGCAGGGTCTGTCCAGCTGTAACAACACTCTTCCCCTAAAGGGTGGGGCTTGGAGTCTGGAGTCCTGATTCTCACTTCCGTTGCTCAACCCTACTTTGTCTCGCATGTTTTATCCCACCGGTGGGCTTGTTTGAGCTTAGCCTTCCTCATCCCCACCAGCCAACACTTCACAGCAGCCTAGAAGAAAAGCTTACAGAGAGATCAAAACTTTGCAAGACCTGACAGCTCCTCGCTTTGCCCTTCCCTGCACCCCTGGGGTTTGTCAGCCCCACCAAGTTCTCCCTCCTCCTCAGTCCTTTTCACTGTGTGGTTGTGGGGTTCTGAAGAAAGGCAGTAACCTCACAGTAAATACCAGCCTTACAATAACTGCCTTGCAGCCTGGCTGGGAACGGAGCCCTGTGTTGTTTTATAGGAATTCCTGGAGAATTACTTGTTTTGTCAGACAGCACAGGCTCAGGTTAGTTCAGTTCAGCAGTTGCCTTTGTCTCCTTCTACCTGGTTTGTGCAAAGACCTCTAGGGTCCTTTTAGGTTAGAAACCTTGGTGCTGTGCTGACACGGCAGCCTGTGCTGCCAGCTCGGACCTGGGGGAAGAGGCATCACGCATGGCTACTGGTGAGCCCTTTGAATAAAAAAGACAGTGTTAGGATTCAGCTGCTAAAGGATTGAGAGAATAACCTCAAAACCCTTGCAGCACCTCCCTTCTCCCCCGTTCATGCTTGGACAGTGAAATGCACTTTCCTCAGGCCCTGAACTACCCACGTACAAGTTTCAAGACTTGCTGCTGTGCCCGTCTCTTTTCTGGGCATGCAAGTGGGCTGTGAGTGTGCCAAGGACTGGAATTTAGCTCCAAGAGACTGATGTACACAGAAACGGTGGGTGGGTCTCCAGCTCCCTCTGCAAGTTTTGGGCAGCTGTGTGGATTTGCGACTGCAAAGACATGCTCATGGGGTGTAGAATGACAGAAAGTGGTGGAGGAGTGGGACTTCTCTCCCAGTCCCCAAGCAGTACCTTCTACTAGAAAAATAATATATACTTTCACCTGAGCATTGTTTTTGGTTTGGGGTGGTTTTCTTCTGAGTTTTTTGGAGGCTGTTTGTGTATTTTGGGGCTTTTTAAGCTTTTTGAGTTTCCAAGACTCCTCTTACTGTGTTACTTTTATCTTCTCTTCTGCTGGAAAAAGCAGGAAGACTACAGACACAAGGAGAGAGGAAATAGAAAGGTGTCACTATTTACCATCTATATTGGTAAAATGGTGGGATGTCTTTCCACAGGTCTTCTGTGTTAAGAACACAATCTGAAAAACACTTCAGTTGCTTTGTTAAAGCCGGGGGATCGGGGGAGTGTTTTCCCACACTTCACACAGCTTTCCAGCTGGAAAAGGGTGGAAAACAGTCGGGAGCTAGGAAAATCTATTCTTTCTTTCAAATGCTGATAGAGAACTTTCTTCCTGACATGCCTCCATCACCAGGTTTTTCACTATGAAAAATGTAGTTGAGGTTTTTTTTTTTAATGGAAAAACTGTTCTCTCTTGAAGTCGACTCACTTTGAGTTGGTTTTTGGAAATTAAGGGGAAAGAATGATTTTATTCACTTGCCAACTTTCAAAGCACTGCCTCAGAACTGGGACAGAGCAACTCACCTGTTCATTTCTGTAGTAATTTCTGTTTTAAGTTTATCCTGTTTGCTAAGTTGTGTGGTTCATATGTTATGACAGCTTTAATGGCTCTTACAGTATAAGGCAAAGGGATTTAGGACTGTGGGAAGGTGTTTTTACCTTTTTTTTGATTCTAAATAAATAAACATAATGAAAATAACAGTTAAATAATGGGAACATCCACATTTACATTAAATAGAATATTTTTTCTTCATAAAAGGAAGATAAATTCACCTGCTTCAGGGCAAAGTCTAACCACTAATTGACAGAAATTAGGAAGAAGGTTCTTTCTTTTTAGGCAGTTGTTCCATCTGTTTCTGTGTGGAATTTCTTGTACATTCTTTCCAAACTCAGGGTATCAGTCACTGCCAAAGGACTCTGTGCAGTCGAGCAAGACAGTCTCAGATTAGGCTGATTATGTGATGGCCTCCTCTGGTAATTCTTAGTCTTTCATATCTCACTTAACCATCCACCCATCTTGTTTGCTAATTAAATGTTGAAAAGAGACTCCCTACCACCCCCCTCTTTCTGTCTCCTTGTGCTACTGCTACTAATCCCTGGATTCTACTTCTCTTTCAGAAGATGCTGCTCAAGAAGAATTGTGGAGCGAAGACTAGAGTTATTAAAATTCATGTAAGTTGCCCTTTTCTGGTGCAGTTCCTTCATTGTTCCACATACATCCGAATGTGGTGATTCTCTTTGAACATCTACGCCCAGAAGATTATTTCTGGAGGTTTCTTGTGGCTTGACTGGCTGCATAACAAAAGTTGCTTGTCTTCAGTATAGACTGTAGTTGCAATTTAGGTTAGGTGCTGACAAGGCTGATACTACATTGGCTTTTCCATTTTGGAGACTATGAGCTCAAAGCTTGCTTGGAGTGAAAGTCTGCATCCCCTGCTGTGAGCTCATACAGTTATGCATAGCTGTCCTGTAGGGTGTCATTTGGATCCTTCTTGACCAAGGGAAGTGCTGATGTGAGGTAACAAGTGGTGTGCAGTAGGGGTGAGAGGTCCTAGTAGATAGCTGCAGGAAAGGAACTATACCTGCATGGTGCACTGGCGTCTACAGAACTGTATGGGATGTGGGACTGGATGATGGCAGATGAGGGACAGAGATTGCTTGGGTGGCTTTGTAGCTGGGGTGACGCTGCAGCGTCTGAGCATCTCATGTTCTTGAGCGCACATATGCCTGGCAGGGCTAGGTTTGTTCAGCTCTCCTGATTGTAATTTATGCTGCCTGCACCTCTGAGTCTTTGTCTCTAGTACCCCATCCCATGACTCTTCAGCCATCCTGTCTCCTTTGTGGGTACCTTGGCTTTCTCTCAGTCAGTGCTGTGTGGCACTGTGGGAGATGTGTGCGTGACCTCACGCATTGCAGCCGAAACAAGTGCCTCAGTCCACTGAGGCCTATGGGATGCTCCACATGTTCGCGATACACAAGCAAAAACAGGTCAAGGTGAAGAAAGCACCTTGGTGATAAAACTGCTGCTTTCACGGCAGTAATTACAGCATTGCAAGAGCAATGAATGGCAGACCAGGATCTGTTAGTATTCTATTGTGCTCCTGCCTAGACTGTTTTCAGTAGAGCTGTCTCCTCGCGTGCCCTGTGAGCTCTCCCCAGACTGTGCCCGTCCTTCAGACCTACCAACAGTCTAATCCTGCTGCAATGTTTTAGCACAACTTGTATATCAACTTCCTTTATGCCTGCCTCATGTGCTTTCGCTGTTTTTTATGGCTGTCCCTGGACTGCAGCTACTTCCAGTGCTGCTTGGTGGCAGTCCCTCCATCCCTGGTGTTTCAGCAATGCCTTAGTGGGGTGGCTTCCCCTGACTCCTTGAGCTCATTATTGCGACTTACTCTTGTGCCCCTGGAGAAGGCAAGAGGCAGAATTATCCCTTCAGTTCCTACTAAGCCCATGTCAGCTCAGGCTAAAATAAACACCAGAAGCTGAGAGCACACCCTTCTGACAGATGGCACAGAATCCACGCTTCTCTGGCCAACCTTGCAGAGCTGGGACAGTGCATCTCTACCTGAGGCGCTCGTGTGGTTTCCATGACAATAGCATATGATACTTCACAGTCTCTTGTTGGTCTGTTGTGGTGGCAGAGCTGTTACATAAAGGAGCATTTTTTCTTCCATTTTTCAAATGATTACAAATGCCTACTTTTGTGTACCCAGCTTAGAAAGGTGGCAGCAGGTCTCTGGCAGAATACCTTGCCAAAGTCCCTCTGGAGGCTACTGAAAGAGGTCTATACCTCTGAAAGATGATGCTGTGCTCTCATCATATAAAAGGAAATCTCAAACCAGCCAGTAAGACATGCTTGGCACAAGGCTCCTTCTCAGTGTTGCCCAGCAGCAGGACAAAAAGGTTATGGGCACAAGTTGAAACACAGGAAATTCAGGTTGCCTGGAGAAATTGTGGAGTCTCCGTCCATGGAGATATTCAAAGCGTGCCAGGACGTGGTCTGGGGTAGTGTGCTCTTGCTGACCCTGCTCTGAGCAGGGAGGTTGAACAAGACTGTCCCTAGAGGTGCCTGCCAACCTCAGCCATGATGAGCTGTTACAGGAGGAACCAGGCAACTGTCTGTGCGTCTGAACAGGAAACATCACCATGTGAACCAGTTTGCTTGTGTCACTGTAGCCCTGAGATGCCCTGAATGCACAAGTGTGCCTGTTTCAGCATACGTAAGGAGCGTGCAGTCTCTTTCGCTTCATACTGGTCTTGCTGGGGACGATGTCTCATGTGGTTGTGAGATAATGCATGCTTTTAAAAATACCTTCCTCCTGACTGATATTTTGGTTGCCTTGACATCTTGGGGCTTTGCTGGCATGTCAGCATGCAAAGTGATGATCTCTCATGCATCATCCCAGCCATGTTCTTCCTCCCTCTTCTTCCCATGGGAGACTCTTCCAGCAGGTGAGATGGAGGGGCAGTGTCTTTACCCTCTGGCATTGAAACGCAGTTTCAGCCCTTGGAAATGTTCAGGGTTCTTGGGAGTCTTTCTCAAGCAGGTGACCTAGGCTGGGATTTTGTTCTCCACATGCTGTTTTAACACTAAGGTGCCACCTTGTTGTTCTTCCCTGTGCTTCAGCTTCCCATGGGTCAACTCAGAGGGTGTTAGGCTACAGCCTTTCCTCTCGCACAGCAGTTCTTCTTAAGCAGGATGGTGGGACAGTGATGTGACAAGTCTAAGAACCTAGACAGATTAAGACAGAGAGATTAATAAACTTCTCAAATGTGCAGCAGCTCAGTTGTGTTTGAAATGTTTTCAGGAATAGCAGCTCTGACAGGTCAGGGCCTACAGTGAAGAGAAAATAATATTAAAAAAAATCTCCCTCTTTTCTACCCTCAGTAAAGGATAATGGAACAGGAGAAACAGTCCCTGTGGGCAGGCGAGCAGAGATAAATTGGAGGTGACGGCATGTGTATGAAGTATGGATTTGTGGGTAATAGATACATGTAGCATAGCACGTGTCAGTGCAAGGTGAGGGGTAGACGTGGGCCTACATGGGTGATGCACAGTGAGGTGGGCAATGTGTGTGTGCAGAGGTGGTCACTGGTGCCCCAAAGTGTCAGCCGGTGTAATGTCTGTAACTGGAAGCAAGGTGCTAGGTCTGAGTGAGGGGGGTTGCACCATATGCATGGGTATTTTAACATCCAGAGCATGTTTGTGTGGTGCAGTCAGGTGTTGGGTGGAGACAGTTCCTGAGCGCTGGAAGGAGGATGACTGTATGAGCATATGCTTGCAGTGTAACTTCCCCCCCACCCCGCACCAGGCTTGATCAGCTGTAGCCAGCTCTGAATGCAGAGAGCCATCTTCCACAGTCTTTTTGTAATACCACAAGTCTTCAGTTCTCCAGGCCCTATTGGGATGGGGGTTACAGGTCTGTCATCTAGTTCTTCCTCCACAAACTCCTACATGCAGTCTCTGAATGGGATCGGTGGAGCTGGGCTTATCTCAGCAGCATTAGGTGGGTAGAAGACACAACTGGCAAGCCCCAGGGTGTCTCCAGAGTTCTTGTTGGGGCAGGCAGAGAGGAAGTAAAAGATTTCAAGGCCAATCTGATAACCTGGCTGATCAGAGAGATGTTTTCTGCTATGTAAAAATAAAACAAGAATTTTAAATTGGAACATGAGCCTCTTGTGCTCTTGCCTTGATCTTATCAATGTTGAGAACACCCTCTGTTTGGACAGGGGCCAGATCCCTAGAATGACTTCCCTGTCTCTTATCTCTTGCATCTGCATCCTAAAAGGCCACTGCAGAAACATGCTGGGTTTTCTTCTCCTAAAACAAGAGACCTTTTCAGCTTGGAGCTGAGCAAGAGATATGCTGGCCTGAGCCTTCTTGGCAGATGCCTGAGCTATTCACAAATGCAAGGCATACTAGGTGATGGGACAGTATTGGTGCAAACCTCTGGTTCTGGCTGCACAGCAAGTAAAGATTTCTAAAAAATCAGAAGACTCTTTGCGTGTGTATACGTACAGATATATATACACACACATGTATGTTGCCCCTTCCATCACAGGCTCCCAAGGCGTGTAGCAAACCTTGCTAAATATAGCATCCTCGAGGCAGCTAAATATCATGACTGCAATTTCAGAGTGAGCTAAACTGAGAAACAAGTAGAGAGTGTGACTTGCCTAAAGAGAGACAGTGTGAGGAGAACTGAAGTCTGGGCTTTGATCTTCAAACCACATTCCTTGAGCTGTGTCCATATTCATATGATGTCACGCAGTCTAAACAGCTCTGACATTGCAGGCGGCAGAGATCCCAAGCTGTCGCTTGCTAACAGTTTGTCAGACCCTCCTGGTTGCCTGTAGTATGTGACTGAGTGCCTAAACCTGAACCTGCCCTTTAGAAACAAGAAGAGAGACTCGCCTCCCTGGCCAGTTGCATCCTTGAGTTACTTGCTGGGCAGAGGCCCCTCATGGAGATTTTAGCACTCCAGTTCTCTAAGCGGCTCATGTCTCCTGTTGATGGGCACATCTCTGCTGACCAAAATGGAGAAGGTCCTCTGCTAAGTGAGAGCACAAATATCCATTTGCTTATTGGGGAGACCAGCTCCCGTTATGCTCCTCCCAGCACAGCCACTGAGCTGCCTGCTGAAGGTCTCTGTGCAGTGACAGCTGGCCCTGGAGAAGGCCAGCGCTTGGTCTGAATAATTACTGACAAAGACTTTGTCTAGAGTTTCCTCAGCATGATAAAGGATCCAGTATAGCCAAGGTGGGAATGCCTCTGTCTGCTAAAAACTATCCCAAACATCTGGCTGCAGACACTGCTTTATTTAATATTGCTTTTATTGGATTTCATGGCAAAGGCTAGCCAGCCTTCAGCCTGTCCATAGCAGCCAGAAGAGGGACTTTCATGTCTTTCTTCTGCTTCCTTTAAAGAAAAGAATTTTTATTGCTGCTTGCTGTTCATAAATTCCTGCCATGTATGCCCTTGTGCCCATTAAATCATGTAAATGCTTGCAGAAATAGACACTGTGGAATAACCAAGAGCTCTGTAATTCAGACAGCACCATGATAGCAGTGAGTGACTGGTGAGTCAGGAGGCTGACATCCTATTTTCAGTGCTGTCCTTGATTTATGGTCTGATGTGGGTCGTGTGTCTGGTTTAAGAATGGGGGCGA